CAAAAAACCTTGCTTTTCAATTGCTGTTTTCGGCCAAAATGAGGGGCTTCTGTCGCTTTACAAGGCAAGGAACGCCTACCAAAATCCCTTCTTCCTCACGAACGGGGAGGGGGCCCATCCTCTCTTCACAGGGGCCACACCAGGAAGCCCTTCCTGGCCATTCCCCTCTCATGCAGGAGGCAGATCTCTTGGAAAGCAATCCGGCCTTCCTCCACCAAGACCGCTGTTTTCGGCCAAAATGAGGGGCTTCTGTCGCTTTACAAGGCAAGGAACGCCTACCAAAATCCCTTCTTCCTCACGAACGGGGAGGGGGCCCATCCTCTCTTCACAGGGGCCACACCAGGAAGCCCTTCCTGGCCATTCCCCTCTCATGCAGGAGGCAGATCTCTTGGAAAGCAATCCGGCCTTCCTCCACCAAGACCCCTCCAAGACACTGTCCGCTACATCAGGGTTCGCCCTCAACTCTTTTGCACCCCCAGGAAAATCCAGCCGCCCAACACAAGCCCTGAAGGAGTGTGCTTTTTACAGTTTCGGAGCCAACCTGGGGCAGGAGAGCCAGCACTGCCTGCTTCTCAGCTGGCCAGGTGGGGAGTCGGCCACTCACCTTGTGAGCGCAGGTCCCCTGATTCTCTCAGGTTCGTCTGCGACCCTGGAAGGGAAAGAGGCAGGAAGAGGTAAAGGCCGTGCAAGAGAGGAGGCCAGGAAGGTGAGCAAAAGGGAGAGGCCCACAGGTGGGGGCTCTGCCCTGCTTTCTTCCTCCTAAAGGATCTCTAAGCTAGGCTTGCCAGGTGGGGAACACCCGTCCCCTCCATGTCACCTGCTAGCAATGTCAAGAAGCAAGCTAAATGGAGTTGAGGAGTGTCCAAAACAGGAAGGTGAGACACCCACACACCCCCAATGCTGGACCCATAAGCCACTGCTGCCCCCAAGTTCCCTGTCTTCATAAACAGACAGCAAGAGGCTGGGGGAGGGGGGTTTACCCTACCTGAAGGTACCCACTTCAAACTAGAAATGGAGGCAGTGGTCTCCCCTCCCACCCGGAAGTTATGCTGCACCCCTTGTGTGCTGTGCAGAGAATTAGGGTTTCAGGCAGCAGGGCTCTCTCCTTCCCTTTCCCCTGAACTTCTGATTTTCTGCAGGGAGGGGCTTTTGCTCCTCCTCTGCTTAGTCAAGGAGAAGCAAGCCACCCCATGCTTAGATTCAAAGTGGTGCAGCCACAGGGAAACTTGAGAAAGTTGCCAGGGAGTTTAATGCTCAGACCTGGACCAGAATGACCCATTGCAGATACTTTTTTCCTGTGGGTTATCTGCAAACTGGAGCAAAAGTCTTCCAATCCCATGTCCAGTTTAATATAGTGAAAATGGGATTGCTGGCAAGGACAGTGCTGGCCAGGCAGGACCTAGGTGCCTGGGAAACCTTCCTGCCCTGGCTGCTCAGCTGTGTCATTTCCACCTGGGTGGTCAGCTTCAGCAGCTCTGTTTTGCTGCATGTGGAGCAGGCGAGGAGTCCTTTCTGCCCTTTCTCTTCTGTGTGGCTTGCTTGTCTAGCATGTAACCGGACAATGGTGGCTGGGGAACATGGTGGCAGCGGTGGGATCTCTGATGGCCAGGAAGAGACACTCTGCCATCACAGTGGCCACCACACTCCCTGGCTGCCACTGTCCAGCCCTGTGGATGGGAAAGGGCTCTTGGCTCCAGCTGAAGTCAGACTCTGCTTTAACATGGCACCCAATGCACACTGTTCAAATGTACAGGGAGTATACGAGAAGGGCAAAAGTGTGGTTGCATTCAAACTTGTTTCAAGCAAGAATGTAGTTCTGATCCTTGACTAGAAGGAAGAGAGTGCTGTGGAGCATCTACCAAGTGGCATCCTCCAACCAGGGTGCCCAAAGGCGACTATCATGGTGAGGGAGCAGCCTCCAAGGGGGAAGGCTAACGGGTAGCTCTGCTCCATTCCCTCCCAGGAAGCCCAAGCACATCCTGCCAAGCAGAAAGGAAGGAGAAGCCTTTCCAAGAGACTAAATGAAAAACAGCCATGGGGGTGAGTACAGGGATACAGATGGAGGGCAGGCAGCTTGAGGCAGGGAAGGCAGGAAGAAAGGCAAGCAGACCTACTTCTCCGGGGCAGGGGGTGGGGAGAGAAAGAAAGAAGCCCAAGAAGCAGCAAGACTTACTGATTTTAGATCCTTGAGGCATTGAAGCACCCGAGACGCACCTGTTAGAATTCTGCCGCTTAGAGGGGTCAAGAGTGACCCTGAAAACAGAGAAAAGCCAGAGTGAAACAGGCGTGGAGGCGGAGGCGGAGGAGAGGAGAGGAAGCGAAGGAGTTAGTGCTGGCAGCCTTCTCTTCTTGGCAGTGGAGGAAGCTGGGGCAGGGTGGCAAGGGCCCTCACAGGTGGCTTACATCAGCCAAGGTGGACCTCCCACCATGAGGAACGGGGGGGGGG